TTTATTATTAAATATATAAATATATGAAATTGTATTAGGTATAATCGACAGCCATTTCTGTCGATTATACCTATTATATTCTACAGTCATTGTGGCTGTCGATTATACTTTCTATAATCAACAGAAATGACTGTCGATTATAGCTAGTATATTCGACAGCCACAATAACTGTCAATTATACCTATATAATCGATACTTTATTATAGTCGACAGAGTTTTTGTCGATAATATAAATAAAATCGACAGTAAAAAATACTGTCGATTATATTTTTGTATGCTGTTTTCTAGTAGTGCTTTGAGAAGAGAGGAAAACCTGCCAAACAGCTATGTTGTTAGACCTTACAGAACTGTTCAAAAACGCCATTGCAGAACTGGTAGGATGTTGAATCGCCATGGCCACCCTCCAATTCTCGCCGGCAGTCACTTACAGTCAAGGATGGTGGCAACATCGTTGCTGCTCTGCGTATCCTCTCTGGAGGTTGCGATTTCTTCAAGTGTTGGGAATCTTGCTCTGGAAGATTGAATATCAGAACGCTTCTTCTTATCCTTTTTGAAGCAAATAACGGTAGAAGTGCTTTATCCATCTCAATCGACCCCAGAAAAGAAGATTCTGATAAAGAATACAACCCCGACGAACCCAACTGTAATTTCTAGAACCCCTCTTCATTTCCTGCTTCAAGAATCGAAATTGATTGAAATCCCCCATCGAATCTAACTCAATTTCTTGAGTTTTTCCCTTGAAGTGTCTCCCGCCATTCTCAAGGTCGTCTAGTTCGACCCACCTCAAGACGTCGATCAAGAAACCCAAGACAGTAAATGTCGGGCTGGCCTTTCTACTTCTCAGAGAAATTAAAACTTGCCCATTTACTCTCATTCTTTTTCTTTGTTAAACCAGACTACCGTGATATGAGTCTTCACGTCGGCGAGGTAGCTAGAGAAAATGAGCTTCTGAAATACGATGAATCAGAATATCTGTTGATGGTCGGAATTTCACCGGCGGGGTTTGATACGCTTATCTATTTTTTTTAAGTTCAAGTAATATTTTTCCAAATGAAAAAGGTACGTGCATCCATACGCAATGCTCACCCTTGTCCTAAATAAGATTGTTTCTTTCTTCTTCTTTTTTTAATGAAATCAGGAAAAGAAAAACAGAAAACTAAAG